GGTGGGCGGGCGGAGAGTTCTCCGAGCGAGTGGGGTCCCCGGTGGGCGGGCGGAGAGTTCTCCGAGCGAGTGGGGTCCCCGGTGGGTGCGCAGGGAGTTCTCTGAGTGAGTGGCCCTGGGTGGGCGGGCGGGGGGTTCTCCCAGTGAGTGGCCCAGGTGAAATCTCTGGCGTCTCTTCCTTGTGTGTCCTCCATGTGGGCCTGGCAGGACGTCTGTGTGTCCTGATGTCCTCTCAGTCCCGTTTCTCACCCTGGAGCTGGTTGAGGCATGAGTGGGGCTCCGCGAGACGTGGGGTGAGGTCGTTCCAGCCGGGCTCACGTGCCCTTTGTCTGCAGGCACCTGCAGGAGCCCCAGCAGACGCTGGAGGCAATGCTGCGGCCCAAGGCAACCACGCTGCCCGGCCACATCCAGGCGGTGTACGTGCAGAACGTGGTCAAGCTGTACGCGTCCATCCTGCAGCAGCGGGAGCAGGCCGCTGAGCACGAGGCCGCCCAGGCTGCCACCCAGCTCCTGGTGGACAGGCTGCCCCAGTTCGTGCAGAGCGCTGACCTGGAGGTCCAGGAGCGGGTGAGGTGGTAGTACGGGGAGGCCGGCAGCTGCGGTGGGGAACCGTGTGTGGGGTGGTGACCGACAGGCACGGCGCTCCAGCAGTGTTCATACCAGCTGCTGTTTGTCTTCAGGGCTGGGCAGTTCCCTGGTGCCCGAGTCCCCTGGGTGGGGGGCCTCCTGCTCACTGGTGCCCCCTGCCCCTGCAGGCGTCCTGCGTCCTACAGTTGGTCAAGTACATTCAGAAGCTCCAGGCCAAGGACGTGCCAGTGGCAGAGGAAGTGAGCGCCCTCTTTGCTGGGGAGCTGAACCCAGTGGCCCCCAAGGCCCAGAAGAAGGTCCCCATTCCTGAGGGGTGAGCCTGTGTGGCTGGGCGGGGACTTCACTCAGGGCCCCTGGCCCCCCAGGTGAGGCTGGAGACGAGAGGCCCTGAGCCCTGTCCTCTGAGCTGCTGGGCACACGGCATGGCGTCAGGTGGGACGGGCTGTCCGGGCTCTTTGCTCACCCTGGGGGCTGGACGCTCCCCCGGCTGACTGCGTCCCAGCCCGGCCCCTGAGCCTGCGCTGCCCTGGGAGCAGGTCTGAGCGGCCCTCAGCGTGCAACACAGGGTGAAGGGGCATCAGCACTGAACTTGGGCCCCGGCTGGCGGCCTCGGGCGGGCTGCTGGTCCCCCAAGACTCGGTGTCCTCTGAGGGGTCACGGTAGGCCCGACGGTGCTGTGCGCCTGGAGCCTCATGGCGGGCCGGTGCCCGAGTGAGACCGGCCCCTGTCCTGCAGCCTGGACCTGGACGCCTGGATCAACGAGCCGCCCTCCGACAGCGAGTCCGAGGACGAGGCGCCCAAGGCCATCTTCCACGACGATGAGCAGAAGCCCACGCGGCACCGGCAGCCTGAGGCCGACGAGGAGGAGCTGGCCCGGGTGAGCGTCGTGGGCGGGTGCTTCTTCTGAACCGCGTCTCGCATCCTCTGCCGGGTTCAGGAGGGGCGGTCAGGTCTGAGGCCCTGTGTTGTAGCCCGGGCTACAGAAACGAGCCTTGCGGCCGTGGGCGCAGCCATCGGGGACTCTGTCCGTGGGGGTGTGTCTTCCAGGGCGCACTCAGCAGGCAGTTGGTGTTTGGAAGGCATGTCTTCTGGGGAGCGCTCAGCAGGTGTTCGGTGTTTGGGGGGGTGTTCTCCAGGGAGCGCTCAGCAGGCGTTTGTTCAGTGTTTGTGCTGGGGTGGAAGCGCGGGATTGAGCTGTGTCTCTGTACAGTCTCTGTTGAGATGTGGAGTGGGTGCCTTGAAATCCAGTAGCTTCCCTAGAGGGTGGCCCTGAGGGCGGTCCTGGGCTTGCCCTTTCTGCGCCACTACCCTGCCCTTGTGCCGGGTGCAGGCTGCCACAAGACTTTACCAAAAACAGGCCACGTCCAAACATTGTCAAACGTGTAAAGATTAAAGAAGGGGCCCCCTGCGTCCCTCTGCCCAGAGTTGAGAACTTTCTGTCCCCTCACTGGTCTCGCCAGACGGCCCAGCGCCCTCCAGGCTGAGCTTTCGGGCAGTGTGACCTGTGGTCAGCCTGGCTCAGGAGGCGAAGACCCGTCAGGCCCCGGCTCTGTCTTGGGAGCAGAGCAGCCTGGCTGGTCTCCAGCGCTTCTGGCCTGGTTTGGGGCTCTCAGACTAGCTGCGTGTCCTATACCCGCTGTAACCTCCTGCCTGGCACGGGCTGAGGAGCTGCGGGGGTGCCTGGGGCAGCACGGGGCCCGCCCCCCTGGTCCAGTGAGTCAGGTGAGCGTTCACTGATGGGAACGTGGCCCCCCCGCCCCCGTCCCCCCGCAGCGCCGGGAAGCCCGGAAGCAGGAGCAGGCCAACAACCCGTTTTACATCAAGAGCTCGCCGTCCCCCCAGAAGGTAAGGCGCGCACATGCGGCTCCGGGGCCCCTCCCCGCACGCCCCCAGGGGTGAGTGCCTGCTGTGGGGGTGTTAGTGGACCCAGGGGCTCGGGCGCAGCAGCTGGCTGTCCCAGCGGGTGCTTCCTGGTCTCGCAGCGCATGCCCTGCGGCCTGTCCCGCGATGGCCCTCCAGTAACGCCCTGGACTTTGCCCCGCAGCGGTACCAGGACACACCTGGTGTGGAGCACATCCCCGTGGTCCAGATTGACCTCTCGGTCCCCTTGAAGGTCCCAGGCAAGTGTCTCGATGGGGATTGCGTGTCATGTCCTGGCAGGGACTGCCAATGCGCCCCCTTCCCCTCACCCACAGCAGGGCGGCGGGCCAGCCGGGTGTCACGGCTGCACTCAGCGTGGCAGGGCCATCCCCGTCCGCCCGGCCCGCCAGCCCCAGGCTGAGCACACCCCCCCACAGGGATGCCCGCGTCAGACCAGTACGTGAAGCTGGAGCAGGAGCGGCGGCACCAGCAGCGGCTGGAGAAGAAGCGGAAGAAGCAGAGGAAGGAGAAGCAGCGCGAGGGCCGGCGTCGGCGCCACAGCTCGCTGCACACGGAGAGCGATGAGGACATTGCCCCTGCCCAGCAGGTGGACATCATCACCGAGGAGATGCCTGAGGTACCGTCTGCCCTGGGGCCCGGGGTGCGTGGGACGGGGCGCTGCCCAGGAGCCTGGGGGAACCGTGCCTGTGTCTGCATTCCAGGAGGGGTGGCCACCCCCGCTGTGCCCCTCACTGTGGCCCCTGAGCCCCGACTCCCCAAGAGGCCCCCGACTTCCCGTGAGGGCTCTGTGTGCGCTCATGATGTGGCTGAACCCTGGCAGGTGGGCGTGGGTGGAGTTGGGGTTCCCAGACCAAGGCTCCTCTGTTCACAGCCAGGATATCCTTCTCCGGTGGGGCCCTGGGACAACCAACCCCGACTGAACATGCCCCCTACAGGGTGAGCCCCCTATAGTGGGGGTGGGGCCGCATGGCCCCTTTAGTAAGGTTTTGGTCAAGTTACCAGTGAACCCTGACGCTGGGCCCCCTTCTACCCCCATTCCTTCAGAATGCTCTGCCCAGTGACGAAGATGACAAAGACCCCAATGACCCCTACAGGGCCCTGGACATTGATCTGGACAAGTGAGTCAGGGGCCAGTGGCGGGTGCTTTGGGGTATGCCTGGGTGAGGACAGAGCTGGGCCTGAGGGCTCCTCACAGACCAACGGACAGGCTGCCCCTCACGGCGCCGGGCTGGGCCTGGGGGCCCCTCAGACAGACAGAGACAGGCTGCCCCTCACGGCGCCGGGCTGGGCCTGGGGG